TGCTACGGTGCCGTGTGCTACGGTGACAGTGTGCTACGGTGCCGTGTGCTATGGTGGCCATGTGCTACGGTGCCGTGTACTACGGTGGCCATGTGCTACGGTGCTGTGTGCTTCGGTGCCGAAGCTGTCCCTACGTAAATTTTTGCTCTGGCATCCTCTTCCCTGAATTTAGATTTTTGTAATCATATATCGTAAATAAAAGTGATCACGCTAAAATATTAAATAATTTACATGGCCTCTAAAACCTGAAGAAATGTTTTCATCTACAGGACAATGTTATACCATAGCCAGTCATTTCTGTCGAAGGCATTCGTGATGAAAAAGAGGGGGGTGAGAGGGACAGTGAGAGGAAAAGAGAGAGGGGACAGAGAGAGAGAGGGATAGAGAGAGAGACAGAGAGAGAGAGAGAGGGACAGAGAGAGAGAGAGAGAGAGGGACAGAGAGAGAGGGACAGAGAGAGAGAGAGGGACAGAGAGAGAGAGAGAGACAGAGAAAGAGAGAGAGACAGAGAAAGAGAGACAGAGAAAGAGAGAGAGACAGAGAAAGAGAGAGAGGGGGGTCAAAGAGAGAGGGTCAGAGAGGGAGAGAGAGAGAGAGAGAGAGGGAGGGAGGGACAGACAGAGGGGGAGGGAAACAGAGAGGGAGGAAGGGACAGAGAGAGAGGGAGGGACAGAGAGTGGGGGAGGGAGGGAAACAGAGAGGGGGATAAAGAGAGAGGGACAAAGAGAAAGGGACAAACAGAGTAGGACAGAGTTGTTGTATTATAGAGAATCTCCGTTATCTTAACATGATCAAACATGAACTATGGAGAAAGTGTTACAAAACACTTTCACTTAACAAGTGTCTTGTAACACTTGTTAAGTGTTACAAAACACCACTTTGACCTAAATTAATTTGTTTACTTTGTAATATAATCTCGCCTATATTCACAATCCCCAGCCCATCACGCCAAATCATATGCCACTTAGGTGCCTAACGGGAAGAAACTTTTCCTTCCCTATATGTCTGCTATGAAGTAACCGCTTTTATTTAGTTACATTCTGATGGCAAACTCTGCCATGATATTTCCCCTTATGCAGTAACAGCCATCTCACCCATCTGGCAGTACCTCGTCTATTAATTATGATATAGGGAGAAGCAGACCTGTTTATCCTCTTGATCCTCTTGATTTTGCAGTAAATTCCTCTACTTTACCCCTGAGGTAGTAATCACCGTTCCCTCCCCCAGTAGACAGTAACGGTCACCGTTCCCTCCCCCAGTAGACAGTAACGGTCACCGTTCCCTCCCCCAGTAGACAGTAACGGTCACCGTTCCCTCCCCCAGTAGACAGTAACGGTCACCGTTCCCTCCCCCAGTAGACAGTAACGGTCACCGTTCCCTCCCCCAGTAGACAGTAACGGTCACCGTTCGCTCCCCAGTAGACAGTAACGGTCACCGTTCCCTCCCCAGTAGACAGTAACGGTCATCGTTCCCTCCCCAGTAGACAGTAACGGTCATCGTTCCCTCCCCAGTAGACAGTAACGGTCACCGTTCCCTCCCCAGTAGACAGTAACGGTCACCGTTCCCTCCCCAGTAGACAGTAACGGTCACCGTTCCCTCCCCAGTAGACAGTAACGGTCATCGTTCCCTCCCCAGTAGACAGTAACGGTCACCGTTCCCTCCCCCAGTAGACAGTAACGGTCACCGTTCGCTCACCCAGTAGACAGTAACGGTCACCGTTCCCTCCCCAGTAGACAGTAACGGTCACCGTTCCCTCCCCAGTAGACAGTAACGGTCACCGTTCCCTCCCCAGTAGACAGTAACGGTCACCGTTCCCTCCCCAGTAGACAGTAACGGTCACCGTTCCCTCCCCAGTAGACAGTAACGGTCACCGTTCCCTCCCCAGTAGACAGTAACGGTCATCGTTCCCTCCCAGTAGACAGTAACGGTCACCGTTCCCTCCCCAGTAGACAGTAACGGTCATCGTTCCCTCCCCAGTAGACAGTAACGGTCACCGTTCGCTCCCCAGTAGACAGTAACGGTCACCGTTCGCTCACCCAGTAGACAGTAACGGTCACCGTTCCCTCCCCAGTAGACAGTAACGCTCACCGTTCCCTCCCCAGTAGACAGTAACGGTCACCGTTCGCTCACCCAGTAGACAGTAACGGTCACCGTTCCCTCCCCAGTAGACAGTAACGGTCACCGTTCCCTCCCCAGTAGACAGTAACGGTCACCGTTCCCTCCCCAGTAGACAGTAACGGTCACCGTTCCCTCCCCAGTAGACAGTAACGGTCACCGTTCCCTCCCCAGTAGACAGTAACGGTCACCGTTCCCTCCCCAGTAGACAGTAACGGTCATCGTTCCCTCCCCAGTAGACAGTAACGGTCACCGTTCCCTCCCCAGTAGACAGTAACGGTCATCGTTCCCTCCCCAGTAGACAGTAACGGTCACCGTTCGCTCCCCAGTAGACAGTAACGGTCACCGTTCGCTCACCCAGTAGACAGTAACGGTCACCGTTCCCTCCCCAGTAGACAGTAACGGTCACCGTCCCCTCCCCAGTAGACAGTAACGGTCACCGTTCCCTCCCCCAGTAGACAGTAACGGTCACCGTTCCCTTCCCCAGTAGACAGTAACGGTCACCGTTCCCTCCCCCAGTAGACAGTAACGGTCACCGTTCCCTCCCCCAGTAGACAGTAACGGTCACCGTTCCCTCACCCAGTAGACAGTAACGGTCACCGTTCCCTCCCCAGTAGACAGTAACAGTCACCGTTCCCTCCCCAGTAGACAGTAACGGTCACCGTTCCCTCCCCCAGTAGACAGTAACGGTCACCGTTCGCTCCCCAGTAGACAGTAACGGTCACCGTTCGCTCACCCAGTAGACAGTAACGGTCACCGTTCCCTCCCCAGTAGACAGTAACGGTCACCGTTCCCTCCCCAGTAGACAGTAACGGTCACCGTTCCCTCCCCAGTAGACAGTAACGGTCACCGTTCCCTCCCCAGTAGGTAGTCAGAGCGACTGTCTAGCTTCCTGCAGGTCGGTGTTCAATCCCCGACCTTCCAAGTAGTTGGGCACCATTCCTTCTCCCCGTCCCATCCCAAATCCCAATCCTGACCCATTCCCAGTGCTATATAGTCGTAATGGCTTGGCGCTTTCTCCTAATCATTGTCTTCCCTCCCTCTCCAGTAACGGTCACCGTTTCCTCCCCAGTAACGGTCACCGTTTCCTCCCCAGTAACGGTCACCGTTCCCTCCCCAGTAACGGCCACCGTTCCCTCCCCAGGAAAGGTCACCGTTCCCTCCCCAGTAACGGCGACCGTTCCCTCCCCAGCAACGGTCACCGTTTCCTCCCCAGTAACGGTCACCGTTCCCTCCCCAGTAACGGTCACCGTTCCCTCCCCAGTAACGGTCACCGTTTCCTCCCCAGTAACGGCCACCGTTCCCTCCCCAGTAACGGTCACCGTTCCCTCCCCAGTAACGGCGACCGTTCCCTCCCCAGCAACGGTCACCGTTCCCTCCCCAGTAACGGTCACCGTTCCCTCCCCAGTAACGGTCACCGTTCCCTCCCCAGTAACGGCGACCGTTCCCTCCCCAGCAACGGTCACCGTTCCCTCCCCAGTAACGGCCACCGTTCATTCCCCAGTAACGGTCACCGTTCCCTCCACAGTAACGGCGATCGTTCCCTCCCCAGTAACGGTCACCGTTCCCTCCCCAGTAACGGCGACCGTTCCCTCCCCAGTAATGGTCACCGTTCTCTCCCCAGTAACGGCGACCGTTCCCTCCCCAGTAACGGTCACCGTTCCCTCCCCAGTAACGGTCACCGTTCCCTCCCCAGTAACGGTCACCGTTCCCTCCCCAGTAACGGTCACCGTTCCCTCCCCAGTAATGGCCACCGTTCCCTCCCCAATAACGTCCACCGTTCCCTTCCCAGTAACGGCCACCGTTCCCTCCCCAGTAACGGTCACCGTTCCCTCCCCAATAACGTCCACCGTTCCTTCCCCAGTAACGGTCACCGTTCCCTCCCCAATAACGTCCACCGTTCCTTCCCCAGTAACGGTCACCGTTCCCTCCCCAGTAACGGTCACCGTTCCCTCCCCAGTAACGGTCACCGTTTCCTCCCCAGTAACGGCCACCGTTCCCTCCCAGTAACGGTCACCGTTCCCTCCCCAGTAACGGCGACCGTTCCCTCCCCAGCAACGGTCACCGTTCCCTCCCCAGTAACGGTCACCGTTCCCTCCCCAGTAACGGTCACCGTTCCCTCCCCAGTAACGGCGACCGTTCCCTCCCCAGCAACGGTCACCGTTCCCTCCCCAGTAACGGCCACCGTTCATTCCCCAGTAACGGTCACCGTTCCCTCCACAGTAACGGCGATCGTTCCCTCCCCAGTAACGGTCACCGTTCCCTCCCCAGTAACGGCGACCGTTCCCTCCCCAGTAATGGTCACCGTTCTCTCCCCAGTAACGGCGACCGTTCCCTCCCCAGTAACGGTCACCGTTCCCTCCCCAGTAACGGTCACCGTTCCCTCCCCAGTAATGGCCACCGTTCCCTCCCCAATAACGTCCACCGTTCCCTTCCCAGTAACGGCCTCCGTTCCCTCCCCAGTAACGGTCACCGTTCCCTCCCCAAAAACGTCCACCGTTCCTTCCCCAGTAACGGTCACCGTTCCCTCCCCAATAACGTCCACCGTTCCTTCCCCAGTAACGGTCACCGTTCCCTCTCCAATAACGTCCACCGTTCCCTCCCCAATAACGTCCACCGTACCCTCTCCAGTAACGGTCACCGTTCCCTCCCCAGTAATGGTCACCGATCCCTCCCTAGTAACGGTCACCGTTCCCTCCCCAATAACGTCCACCGTTCCTTCCCCAGTAACGGTCACCGTTCCCTCCCCAATAACGTCCACCGTTCCTTCCCCAGTAACGGTCACCGTTCCCTCTCCAATAACGTCCACCGTTCCCTCCCCAATAACGGCCACCGTTCCCTGGTGATCGTGCACTAACGGCTGCGTCCGTCTTGCTCCCCGGCAGGTGGGGAGTGCGAGGAGCATCAGTTCCGGTGCCCCGACAGTCAGTGCGTGTCGGCGGGCAACGTCTGCGACTCCCAGTGTGACTGTACTGACTGTGCCGACGAGAGAGACTGCGGCCGCTTCTATACCAGAGTCTCCGGTAGGTACATCCCTCTCTTGCTACTCTAGTATAAACTATGCCAAGGTCTGGTCGAGGGGCCGACCATATGCTACTCTAGTATGAACGCCACCAAGGTCTGGTCGACTAGCCTACCACTTGCTTCTCTAGTGTGAACTCCACCAAGGTCTGGTCGACTGGCCTACCATTTGTTACTTTAGTATGAACTCCACCAAGGTCTGGTCGACTGGCCTACCTATGACCTACACCAAGGTGTCTGGTCGACTGGCCTACCTATGACCTACACCAAGGTGTCTGGTCGACTGGCCAGACGACCAGCCGTTTGCTACCATGCTAGGAGGCAAACAAGACTCCATGCTGGAGGACCTGCAGCTGGTGAAGTCACAGGGGGCACTCTGGGTCTCGTCCTTAGGACCTCCAAGTGCGAAATTATTTCATCCAGTGAGGTAGTTATTGATGCAGTGAAATAAATTTTACCGGAAGCCACGGTCATTGAGCCCACTGTCAACACACTACTTGGAGCACCTCTGGGCACCAACGCCATTGTCCCAATCCTAGAGGGAAAAAATCTGTCTTAAAGGGTATGGAAGAGAGAATAGGGGACTTGGACTCTCATGATGCCCTCTCACAAGTGCCTAACCTTACCCAGCATAACGTACTTTTTATGATGTGCTTTCACTTTTGGTAACCCACTACTAAGTCGATGTGATTAGCTCCTGAAGTCAATATTCAGGAAGTCACTGAACCTAGTTAGATGAAAGTGGGATCAAGCAGCACTACCAGTCAGACTTGGGGAGCAGGCATTCACAAGGCAACTAAGGTAGCACCAACAGCATTTAAAGCCGTTTAATCTCCTTGGAGAAAAATAGTATTACACGAAAGTGAGCCATTTAATCCCCCATGGAAAAATTTACTGTGCCAAATCGAGGTCGCTGGCTTTCACGGAAGAATTTTCTACGCCAAATCGATGCAGGCAGAAAAAGCAAAACTGCAGCGACTTAGTGTTCTCACTACTAATATTATCCACTAGCAGCATACGTGTACTAGCAGCATTCTTATCCTAGTGCATCAATGCCAACGAATTAGGAAGGACGATCCTACCAGAGCGTATGTGAGATTCTGTAAGAGCTCAAGATTGAAATTTATCGAAAGAGGCAACCAGTAACAAACTATTTCTCACATCTTGCCCCGACCACAGCCCCAAAAGACCATAGACCTTCTCTATAGTATTTTGAGGCCAGGACCACTGGGATAGTCCTATATTGGAAAAAATTGTCTCAACAATGCTTGAAAATATATATGCTGAGAACAAAGCCTTCTAGCAGTAACAACACCCTATTCTGGCGAATTTTGTTATTTGCTGTAGCAAATGCAGCCTTATGAACTCGCTTTAATCACGACGTTCTTCGTACTCGAGTAACTGTTTGCCTTGCAGCCTCCACCCTCACAGCCCACTTCCTAGCATGATGAGAACCACACCTATATAGACCCAATGACACTCGGAAGCATCCAGACTGGGTCATCATGCTCCCCCTGGAAGGATGGCAAGCTAATGGTGTGCAACTACACATGCGCATCCACACTGGCCAGTGCCAACCTTTAATACAGTGCAGTCGAAGGGTGTGGCTCTGCTTCTTTCCTGGAAATGTAGAAAGCCATCAGATACAGAGATCTGCCAAATTGCTGCAGCTTTGTTCCGCTCAGCGTGATTCATGGGGCAAATGTGCACTGAAGTTCATGAAAGAACCGGAAGACAAACTAGTTAGCATCCCAAAAGACCAAAGAGCGACAAGTTTCTTGTTCCAATGCCTCGCTGTCGCAGTTCAGAGGGAAAATACTTGCTGCACCTTGGTCATGCATACATCCTTCGAGGTAGTGTTGGATTTGCAATAGTAGTCAGTTTGATTTTAAACGATTCTTAATGAATGGTCTACAGTCGTCAGTTTGTGCATTTTTCATTTCACTTGTAATAGTTATGTCATGTATATGTTAATTCCACACAAATTGTAATCGTGTAGCCATGTACAAAAAAGTTTACAATATAATAAGGGTGGAAGGTGTAGCAGAACTCAGAGACAAACGACAAATTTTATCCAAATGCTCCCTATATGCTTCTTCGAAGCTATGGGTCCCAACAACTGAACCAGAGGTGGTACCTCTATATATATATATATAATATATATGCCATTATATATGGTTAGCAGATATAGCTTATATAGCATCATATATCGTCATTAGACGTAATATCCCATTATATGTTGCCAGAATATCTCATCTGGTATTCATTGGTTAGTTTCGAAAAGTTGAGATCACCTTTAAGGAAGTTTCCCAACCTTAATGAGTTTACACTTTTCTTAATGAACCTTGAGGCGCCATGACTGATTAATTTTGTATGAGATTCTTCACAAATTGATTCCAGGATTCAGAAATATTTATCCTTTCCATTTAAAAAGAACCTAAATTTACGTTAATGTTTTCTTAGATAAATTAATGTTAACATTCTCTTTCAAATTAAATCAGTGAAAGGAAATAATTTATATTGAAAAATTGGCATATAAAATATTCCAATTCCTAAAATTTGCTAGACTATAACCAATTGACAAACTCTGCAGGAACAGCAATAGGTCTGCAGTGGACCATTGCTGCTCTCGAGTACTAAGGCTACCATAACAGCTTACTGACGAACCAGCAAATTTGGTGTTGGGCTAAGGTCTATCAACCCTTAAAGGGTTATTAAATCCATCACAATATCTTTCTGACCAAGCGTAACGTATTCTTTAGTCCTGAATGTAAATTAGTACTAAAGTACTCTCATAGTATAAACACCGGGAATCAGTATTCTCCTCTAAGTGTACATATCCCTAGAATTGTAGTACTTATTGAGACTTTGCATATAAAAACCCATTACATCACTGTGGTAATGCAAATGTTGATAATGACTGGTCCAGCTTGTCTTCCCCTAGTACATCACTCCAAGCTTCTCGTGAAACACGAATTCTTGATTAGAACACGTCTTCGGTCCACCAGTTTTTCTAAACTTACTTGTGACTCCTTATTGAATTCAGTTTCTAAGGTCACAAGTTAGAATGCTGAAGCATCCAGAATCGCTCATAACATGGCGAAAAGCTGGAGCCGTCCTGGTGGACTTTGGTGTGGGTTGTGTGTACAAGTTAAGTACTTACTTCAGTTTAAATGCAAGTGGACATATTTGTTTATTGTTGTTAAATTTTAATGGACTTAATAACATAGGTAAATTTAAATCTTCCACACAATTCCCACAGAGGGAAGTATATTAAATTTTTAGTTAATAAATTCATGTCTTACAGCTTATCGGTTAAAACACATAATCACATTTTAAAACAAGAGTACTGATTCAAACCTACTGCTAGAGGAATGAATTCTGAATTATAATTAAGAAATTAATTAGTTGAAATGGATTTTCTGTACGATCTGAATTGCATTAGTAAATAACATTCTTAGATAGTAAGATGACTCCTTAGCCAACACGCATGGCCATCAACAACCCAGAGAACATTGTATATATGTCGTGCAGAGTCAGCCTCCTTCAGTGTACCTGAGGATTTCCGTAGCTGCTGGAGACACCTCCTGCCGGCAATTAATTATTTTTATGAGAAATACAGATTTATATTAACAATCTCGCTGTGATCCACAAATCAATTAGTTTTCTTGTTATATGCTTGCCTGTGTTTTGAGAACTGCATGCTCATAGCCGGGGGCCTGTATTACACTAATTCCCATTAACATAATCAGATATGATCAATAAACTGAGAGCTAGATCCTTAGTCTGGGTCCTCTCCCTTTCCAACTGGTTGCCTTCGTGAGGGGGCTTGTTGAGCGGCTGTCGAAATGTGAAGCTCCATGGGACAGCTTGTACTCTGTTCTTCTGAAGCCTTATGCTCCTGCTGCTGTCTTCTCCAATTTTGCTGGCTGCTTTTTCCTTTTCCTCAAGTTTCATTTTCCTCTTCCCACCTCTTCTTTCTGACTGTTCCTTTCTTTGTCTCGTTCTTGAATATTCTTTCCGATGTATTCTGTTATGACGGCGGATGTTTGAGAAGGCGCACACACTCACCTGTAGACCTGTGGTACCTGACGTTGTCGGGCGAGGGGACGCTTTTATTGTCAAACTTTGCCTTCGTTGCTGCGCCCGATCTCGACGGAGTGACGCTTCTTAAGGTGACGATTGCAGAGTGTATATCCATGATGCACCCTGGGAGTGCATCATGGTAACTGTTATCATGGTGCATCATGATAACAAGTATCAGGTTACTTGATACCCGACAAGACACTATCAGGTATCCTTTCCTCTAATTGTGGCTGCATGGTTGGTATGGGGTTCATTCTTGGATAAAATTATATTCATATTCGTTCTATGCCGATTTCTAACTCGCATTCATCTTCTAAGACTCGTGGGGTGGGCGACCAGGCCCCCGAGTCAATCCTCCAGGTTGATATGTTCACTTGTTATGGTTATCTCGTGCGTAGCAGAAGATTCGGTCTATTCCTAACCACCTACATATCAGCATGCTCCAACATAAAGACAATGTGTGTCAACAACAACAATGTGTGGCAAAATGTATTGTCTAGGCACACCATCCCTTCCCTCCTCCAGCCTACCTTCCACGAGAGCCTGGCACCTGCCATCTAGCCAGCTCACTTGACGACAAACTATCACGATGGTAGATATCTTGTCGGCTTCTTATCTACAATTTCAGCATTTGTGCCAAAAGGACGCCACAACCCATATATAAAGGTTTGCCAGCGTCCAGCACAGCATATTGCCCTTCTAGTGCTCACTGGTTCAGCATCTATCCTCGCCTACGGGTGACGGTAGACGCACATAGCATTTTGTATAAAGTATTACCTTCACCTTTATTATTAACGTTAAATTCACATGTATATATTTCTCTTTTGATTGTGTTTAAGCCAAGTGGATAAGGGATTTTGTTTTCATTAATAGTTACTTATCATTTTTTGTAAAATTAAAGTAGTTTTTTTTGTTA